CTGCTTCCTGGTCTCCGTGGAAAGTTCTTCCTGCTGGGAAGATGGGGTTCTCCCTGGTGACCCCTCTCATCTGGGTGCCTCCCACCGGGTTGGGAAGGTGCCTGCTTGGCAGGAGGCATGCATCGTTGGTAGCCCCACACCACCCATGGCCACCCTCTGCTCTGTTCTGCCCACTCCTCCAACTCGCTCTCTGCGATGACCCGGGAGGAGCCGGGTCTTTCCTGTCCATTGAAGAGTGGTGGTTTTAGATGCCTTTCCCCAAACATCTTGTTTACATTTTTCCTAGCTAAGTCTCATTTTTCTGTTTGCAGCCCATTTTTCTATGTCTTAGGAAAAATAGATATGTCAGCTGTTTTTCTTTTTCACTTCCATGTCCTCTGCCACTTCATTAGAGTGCGACTTGACTGTGTCCAAGTTCATGTATCGGATGGGGAGAGGATGCATTAAGTAACAGTGGGCCCAGTTCCAAGTCCCAAGTTGCTTCCTGGGTGGTTACTATTTAGTAACTGTTTTTGGCTTAGTCTTCTGCCTGGGGAGGTGGTGGGGTTGGTGCCATCAGGCAAGGAGTGGGACAAGAGAAACTTGGGCCTTCTCCAGCTCTGTTACCATACAGCTCCATCACTACAGCTCAGCAGCCAGCAAACATTCAGAAACTTCTGGAGTCAGGCATTCGTCAGGGGATGGGACTACTGTGAGGTAAGGTCCAGGAAGACTGGACACTTAGGAAGAACACACAATGCAAGATGGCTGCCTGAGCCAAGGCTGGGTTTCGCCCCGCCTTCAACCCATTTGAGCAGGCTTAAGCCCCACAGATGTTAAGTTGGCATATCTTTAGGTGAAGTGACAGGGTGAGCTTCATAATTTGCAGAGGCCAGTCCAGAAGGAACATGTGGGTACTCAGCACTCTGTGCAAGGACTCCTGAATGCCATTCTTCTCACCACCTCTAATGTCAACAGTGGTGTCCCTGGCTTCTTCTAAAATAACTCTACTAACCAGACTGGTGTAGGGATGCCAATCTCCCCTTCCCACGGGCCTGCCACTGCAGCTCATAGTGGGCAGAGGTCCCCAGGAGATTGCACATCTGCACTGGGCACTCTTGGTACCTAGATGGAGGGTGGGTGAGAGGTCCCCGTTGAGTCAGCAGCAATTGCACTGCAGCACTGCCAGTCCAGGGAGTGCAGGATGGCTGGCACTATGCCTCTCCCCAAGACATTGCAGGGCGCATGCCCAGTCCTGACTCTCCCTGTACAGGTGCAGAGGCCTCCACCAACATGACTCTGTCAGCACCTTGGGAGTAGGGTGACACTGGTGATGGAGCCCAGGCACCAGGGGTGAGGTGTAGGTGCCTAAAAATCCCTCCTGGGGAGGTGGTGAGGAGGCAGGACCATGAGTGAGCTGAGGCTTTAGATGCCAGTGCATGTTCACTTATAAAACACAAATTCAAAGATAAAAATACTAAGAATCAAAGATGGCAACTGCAGAGCACCCAACCGCAAGTAGAGGCCTTCAGAGTACAAGGCCCTTAAGAATGCAAGACCCTTTGGGGCTCAAATTCTCTAGAGAGATTTGGGGTTCAGTTTGAGACCCATTAGCAAAGCTGGAAGATGCAGCTGTGGCTCGGATGTTGGAGCATAAATGAATGGGCACACCTCCACTGGGTGGATGGCAGTGGTTCCCCAGTGAAGAGGGGCCTGGGGCTTGGCTAACTCAAAAGATCCTTACTCTGATAGTGTGTGCTGAATAAAACATGAGCAGTAGAGAGCCTGAGCCTCACTCTCATGTCTTTTATTGGAATTGTGGAGAGGGAGACCCTACTTCTAGCCTCAGTTTATACAACTATAAGGTAAGAGCAAAATCTACAGACTCCTGGGAGCAGGAAGTTATATAAGGATTTTCAAGATACCTTTGAAAGGTACGTTAGCCTCCTGGAAAATGGAAATGGATCCACTAAATATCATTAAAATGTGTGTGACCAATTGGTTTTGACCATAGGACTGGGGAGAGGAGAGAATGTCTATATGATTCTTAAGACCCCTTCTAACCTCAGGTTTGTGTTTCTCTTATTTTGGTCTAAGCTGTAGAATTTCCATGCTGTGTATTGTGAGAAGTTTTAAAGGAGTATTTTCTTTATCCTTTCTCCATAATATAGGAATAATTACTTTTCCTTGAAAATATATAAAAAAGATTTTTTTTCCTAATGGCTCCTTGAAGGGAGAAGACCTTGAAAGGAGAAGAAAGGAAAATCCAGGCCACGTTTTGAGGTTTATTCCATAAGATATGGACAATGTAATTTTCAAATGATTTTCTAATTCAAATGAAGAAAATGGCAACAAACTTAGGGACCCTATAGCACTTATTCTTCTTAAAAATATTCTGTCTTTTATCTTGGCTTCTTAAAAATAAAAAATGATTTTTATCACTAAAATAGTCAGTATATATATTCAGTAAATATTTATTAGGTACCTACTATGTTCTAGGTACTATACCAGGAGCCAAGGATATTAACTAAAATAAGACATGCCCTCACTCCTAAGGACCTAAAATTCTAACACATGAATGGTTTGAATTAATTTCTGTTAACTCACGCTATCACCTGGACTAGGTTTTTATTTCTGTCCATGCCTCAGTTCCCCCTATCCTCCCCCCATGTAGATAATTATAGTGATAGAACAACATGATGAAAATTGCATCACAGAGGCAATCTCTAGTACCTCTCTAGGTGGATTTCAGAAATGTGAAATTAGGGAGGGTTAAGAAAGTTGTTTTAATAGAAGCCTGGGACATCAGTGTTGACACTAGAGGTGCTGAGAAGAATGGCATTCAGGAACCCGTGCACAGAATGCTAAGGGGACGTTCTGAGAACCTCGCCTGGGCTAGGTGTAAGGGACCAGCCAGGCGGAGACTGCAGGGCACAATTGAGATTTGTGCTCAGAAGTATTCAGTGGAGTGGTTGCCATCTGAACATACCTCCACAGACCACTCATGTCCAGCTCAGCTGTCACAAGATGTCAATTTGGTGCTGGGATATTTTCTTGCTTTCTGACCCAGAAAGTCTTGCCATGACCCAGCTGGGATTCATGAACTCGGCTGGAAGCTAAAGAACAGGTTAGGGCTTTGTCTTTATTGCCTGTGTGTTTCACAGTTCTTTGTGAAGGAATTGCTTTTTTTTTTTTCTTTAACAAAGTTGGTATATTCCTATATGGTGTCACTGTAATTTTGATTTGGTGTTCTAGCTGCCATCTTGAAACTACATGGTGGCTGGGTGTGGTGGCTCACGCCTGTAATCCCAACACTTTGGGAGGCAGAAGTGGGCAGATCACTTGAGGTCAGAAGTTCGAGACCAGCCCGGCCAAAATGGTGAAACCCCGTCTTTACTAAAAAAGTACAAAAATTAGCTGGGCATGGTGGGTTGTGCCTGTAATCTCATCTACATGGGAGGCTGAGGTGGGAGAACTGCGTGAACCTGGGAGGCAGAGGTTGTAGTGAGCCAAGATCCCACCACTGCATTTCAGACTGGGTGACAGATCAAGACTCTGTCTCAAAAAAAAAGAACTACATGGTGACCAGTTACTTTCTCTAATTAGGTTGTATTTTGTAAATCCTAATAGGACTGTGAATTTGCTTAGTGTGTATCCATCACAGAAATGGGATAGTACCTTTGATAAAATGTTCTATTAGTACATTTTATAAAGGCCCATTCACTACTGACTCTCGGCCTCCCACTCCTTTTGTGAAGTTGGGCTGAGATAGCAGTTATTACTATTGCTACCACCAATGCTGATTACTAAGGACATAAAATACTGTGTGTATGTGTTTATAGTGATTAATCATGTTTATAATGATTAATGTGTTTATAATGATTATAATGAAGAATGTTATGGTATTGCTAGTATGCCATTTTACAGAGGAAGAGCTTGGGACTCAGGGAAATTAAATACAAAATCGCACAGCTAGAATGTAGCTGACTGGAACTTGAACTGATACCCAAGTTCTTTCCACTCTGCTCCATATGCTTCTTTTATCATTGCAATAGGGTCTAGGGTTTTATAAAGGAGAAGGCTAAAGAATGCATTAGGTCCTTTGGTAAGACACATTATCACCTTTGCAGCTGCCTCTCCCATAACATAGGCCTTGTTAATCTAACAATGTAACATGAGGGTAAAGACCCCAGCCCGTCATTGATCTCTGAGCTTCTGTGACTTGCAGAGAGGCTGCTCCATGTCTTAGGGGGCCAGCTGTAGCCTTTCAAGGGAAGAAAGGGGTCTGGGTGGGAAGACTTGCTGGAAGGCAGTGAAGTGGAGTGGAAAGAACATGGCTTACAGACTCAAGAAGACCAGGTCTGTCTCCCTTGAGCAAGTCTCTTCACTGACCATCAGTAAAGTGAGGACAGTAGCACCAACTTGATAGGAGTGAATTAAATGAGATGAAGGATATAAAGCTTACGATGTAGACAGGACACTCAACAATTGTTAGTTGCAGTTGGAAGAAGACTTTACTTTTCTCTTTCCACAATTTCCCACGTGCACATTCATCGACAGATGCATATTCACTGCTGCTTAAGATTTTGCACGCGGTCTCTTTCATGCTAGTGTGAGAAGCCCTAAATTTATGTTTTGAAAAATATGTTATTTCTGCATAGTTTCCCATTGCCTCAGTGCTCCCTTTTGTGAGTTTAGATCACTAAGGGCCTCTAGGACACTGGGTGTCAGCAATAGCGAATTCATCCAAGCTTGTGTCATGCCTCTTTCCTGGTCTGAGGGATGAAGGTGGCGGTTGGGGTTGCCTGTTATCTCACCCGCTCTTTTGCTATGGGAAGTCTCACTGTCTTCTCCTGAAGCCTTGGCCTTCCAAGAGGAGAAAAGGCTTCTTAAACTCGGAGGCGTGGCTAGAACACAAGTGCCTAGAACTCTGTGCCCTTGCCCACTGGAAGTGGAAGAGGGTTCATCACTCACGCTCTAGAGTTGCCCAAATTCTTATGTTCTTTGTTCTCTTTTGGCAGAACCAGCTTCTTGCAAAAGGACTGTTCTTTGTGGAGGAGAAGATCAAGCTATGTGAAGGCAAGTATAAGACAGCCCTGATAGACTGGGGCCTCTGTGACTCAGCCTTTGATGTCTGAACAGCTGAGATGCTTCTGTCCAGAAGTGACAGACTCCAAGCGAGTGATTCACCCTGTCCATTTCCTCCCTACCTAGGCGGCAGCACTTTGATTTGAGTCAGCTACTCACAGCATTGCAAGTCAGAACTGTGTTTCAGAAAAGTGTAGTGGGATGGGGTGGTTTCTTTGGAGACCTTGTTCAGGATTTTGTTTGTTTGTTTAATGGGATGCAGGCTAGGGGTCTCTTTTGAAGGAATAAGTTACTCTGTGAATCCTCCATGCTATTTCCTCTGGTCTGCCCCGAGCTATTTCCTACAGACCTTTGTAATATTTCTGGGGAGTCATAGAGGAGTCCTGTCCATTTGGGGGACATTAGGCTAAGCAGGTACTCACTCAATAGGGTATGATTTGATAGATGAAGGGAAATTTCCTGATCTTAGATTTTAAAGTCCAACTGACAGGAGAGAAAGGAACTGAATGGAGATGGAAACAGGTTCCAAAGGTAAGAATTGGTCAACCCCATGACTCTATCAAGGGCTACTTTTAGCTCCCACCAAAGTGGGACTTGATCTTAGCTTGCCACCTACTTTTTGGGTAACTTTTGGTTAGTTACTAGTTTCTCCAAGTCTCAGCTTTTATCGTTTTTGAAGTGATAAATTGGGGTGAGGGGTTGTAGGGAACATAAGGCACATGAGTGGCGTAACACCATACCTGGCACACAGCAGGTGTACATACCGGACCCTTTCTTTTTTTTCTGCTCCAGCCTAATGTCCCATAGATCAAACTTACTTCCAGGCCCAGACTTATTAGGTGTCATGTCATCATCCTTTTGTTTCTCCCCATTCCCTGGGAGAGACACTAGTGTGTCCAGGAAAGGGGCTCCTAGAAAGACAAAGTAGGAAGGAAAAGGAGAAACTGACGCTAGAAAGTTCTGAGGTCTGGCATACAGTAAATGCTTACCAAGCCTTGGGAAGAATAGAGGTTAGAAATTAACCTTTGCACATTTGAGAATTGGCTGAAGCCATTCTTCCCTTGAATACATCGATAATATTATTTTTTTTTCCAAACTTAAAAATACCCAGTAACCCAAGGCCTTTAGAAAAAAATTGTAAATTGTGGTTAAACAAAACCCCACACAATATAAAATATACCCTCTTTATAATTGCAGTACTTTACAGTTCAGTAGTGTTAATTATATTCACATTGTTGTGTAACAGATCTCTAGAACTTTATCTTGCAAAACGGAAACTCCATGTCCATTGAACAACTCCCAACATTTTGCCCCCTTTCCTCAGCCCCCGACAGCCACCATCCTATTTTTTGTTTCCGTGCTTTGACTACTCTAGGCGTCTTATAATTGGAATCATATGGTATTTGTCCTTTTGTGACTGGCTTAGTTTCATTCAGCATAAGGTCCGCAAATTCACGTTGTAGCATGTGAGAGGATTCCCTTCTTATTTTAAGGCTAATATTCCATTGTATGTGCATGCTACATTTGCTTTATCTTCTCACGTGTCAAAGGAAGGGGCTTATTCTTAGGTGACTTGCTTAAGAATTTAGTGGGTCTTTTGCATTTTATTTATGTATTTTTTTTGAGACAGAGTCTCACTTCTGTGGCCCAGGCTGGAGAGCAATGGTGCGATCTTGACTCACTGCAACCTCTACCTCCCAGGTTCAAGCGATTCTCATGCCTCAGCCTCTTGAGTAGCTGGGATTACAGGCACCTGCCACCACGCCTGGCTAATTTTTGTATTTTTAGTAGGGGTTTCACCTTGTTGGCCAGGCTGGTCTCAACTCCTGACCTCAAAAGATCCACCGCCTTGGCCTCCCAAAGTTCTGGGATTACAGGCATGAGCCACTGTGCCCGGCCCTCTTTTGCATTTTGGAGTCAGGCTAGTACAAAAATGTGGGAAACAACTGCCTGGTAAAGGGAGGGGAAAGAAACATTGTCCCTAGTCACATAAATTGTATGTATGTTATCTGGGGAGTTATTACAAGCTCCTGGAAATGTGGAAAAACAGCTCTATGAAAAAGATACTGAATAAAACCAGAGGTTCAAGTGCCCTTAAAAGGGGAAGTTGAATGTCTCTCACCCGAATAACCCTCATCATAGATACACTCAGAGTGAAAACTCAGAAATGGGGCTAGACAGGATGAACAAAGTTCATCCCACATTCTATGCCCCTGCCCTGGCGTGGCCTGAGAGCACCAGGCCTGGGGTATTCTCTCTGAGTCTCTTCTAGTCCCGGAGTTCTGGTGTTGGGGCCTTTTCTGTACAGTGAATGGGCATGTGGGGAGCCTTTAAGGGCCTCTGCCATCTTCAACCAGGCATCTCTACTGTTTAATTTTATGTATTAGAACTCCAAGAAAAATTCTGTTTGAATAAAAGGATTCTCTTGCTATAAAACAAAGTTTGAAAACAATTAATATGATATGTCCAGTCACTGAACAAACTCCTCTTTGTTGACATCTCTGCTTAGATACTTACATGTCTATATATACACACCCCTTCTTTACTGCTGCAGAAAAGACAGGTGGCTGTTCATACCCACCTGTTGCTCTTTTGTGGGCAGAAGACGCCATGTTAAGTTCATCTTTTCTAGAGCCTTAGTGACCTTGAGTCTTAGGAAGTTTCTGACACTTACCCACATACTTCTGGTGACCTAAACTGCTGTGTTACATTAAAGGGCAGATGTATAGGACAGTCATCTAGAACCATCCATCCAACCCCCTTCATTTTTTGCAGGGAGCTAAGTCCTTGACTTATGGGCTGTTTCTGGAAGGGAAGGCACCTGTGTTCTTTAACTCTTTCTCCCCCAGGGCTGCCCTGTTGCTGTGTCTGTGTCTGTCTGATGTTCTTCTCTGAACACTTTCCAAAACCTCCATTACTCTCTGAAGTTTGCAGCCAGCAATTAGACCTGGGTTCTTGGGAGGCGTCTTACTGCTGCTAGGTTGCAGAATTACGTTGTGTGTCAACGAGCATCCTGTCTTGGCACTGCAAGGGGGAGTAAGTAGGCAGCAGTGCCAACCTGCAAGGTTCTCTCTTCTTCCCTTCCTTCAGATCAAGAGGACCTCTGCTTGTCTTGGTTGTAGAAGGCTTAAGATAAGGGACATCAACAGAGAAGCTGGAGTCACCTTTTACCATGTGGGGTACATTATCCAGGTGCTGGAGTTCACCTTGGTTCTAGGAACCAGGATGACCCAGTATGTGAGATGGTCCTTTTAGACTTCCCCTTCCTCCTCACTGCAGTGAAACAGCATAGCCTGCATTTGAAAGAGGATACTGACTGCTTCAATCAAATGTTTATTTGATTATCTACTATGAGCCAGTACGTTGCTAGGTGCTGGGGAGTCAGGAGTCGGAGAAACCATCACAGCATTACAGGCCCTCATGGAGCTCACACATGAATCAAATCATCACCAAGTATAAAACTGTACCCAGGACAAGTACTAAGAATACAATCTGTAGCACAGTGGTTTGACCAATGGGGAGAGACTTTCTCCTAGAAGTGATGTTCAAGCTGCAACTAGAAAGATCAACAGAAGTAGGTTAGGTAAAGAAGGGAGAGAAAGAGCAGTCAAGGCAGAAGGGCCAGCACATGCAAAGGCCCTGTGGCATGAGAGAGAAGGGTGACTGCAAGAGAGATCATTAGAGCCCAAAGGCCAACAGGAATACAGAAGAGGATCAAGACCCAGAAGGAGGAGACGGATTCTCCTGGGCTGTGTAGATCATATTATTCAGGTTTTGTTTATCCTAGGAGCAAAGGAAAATGTTCATGCTAACTATTAAGTCCTGTTCTACACTGTCCCATATTTGAGTTAAATGGTAACCTCCTTCCACTCACCAGTCCCAGTATCTGCAAAAATCTATACACTTGGCACTTTCCATCCATTCAAGCAAAGCTTTTAAAAGATTGATTTATGAAGTGGCTGCACCATCCTTAGCACTAGTAATATAGTGATGAGCAAGACAGATAGGGCCCCATTCCCACTTCCATTCCAGTGACAAGACAGAGAAGAAGTGAATAAACCGTTCCAATAAAGTGTGATCAGTGGTTTGCACAGGAAAGTTGAGGGTGTCCTGGATTTGCATTTTCCCCCTGTGAATTTCACCCTGACCTTTCAAAATCTGCACATCTTTGGACCTGCTGGCTACTAGTCATGCCCTTGTTCTATTCTTTCTCCCCAGCCACTGCTTTTATTGCCCATTAAATTAATAGACGGTGCCAAATGAATCTTTCAAGATTTATTCAGTGGAACTGGCAGTGTCTTGCCAAACGTGTCTCTCAGTGTCTAATCTTGGCTGACCCAGTTTCTTTGCCTGGGATGAGCTGAGGCAGTGACCAATATCAGCTCTGATATCTAGGTCATTAAACAGCAACTGCTATGCAGGCCCTTCTCTGCCAGGGCCCGTCTTTCCTGGAGGTGCAGAGTTCCTCACACAACCTTCCGATGGTATTGGGTGACCTGTGTGCTCCAGCCTGGGGTAGCAGGGACACTTGGCTGTAGCTTAGGCTTCCTCATCCTGGGAGTAAGTAGGGACAGCATCAGGAGTCAGGTGCTGTGTTTTGCAGAAGGCCTTTTCAGAGAATGCTGCCCTCCCAGTTACTGTAAAGAAGTGGGTGGAGAAAACAGTTTCCAGATCCTCTTTCTGCCTCTCTCCATTGACAGCTGAAATCCAGAATAAGCCCAGTGTCTTAATGAGTAAGAAAACAAAACAGTATATAGTGGTGCACATGATCTTCCCGGATTAGCCTGGCCAAGAGCATGGTTTCTGGAATCACAGCTCTGCCTTTGAGCTGTGTGACTTTGGGGCAGTTAGTTGGCCTCTCTGAGCCTGTAAAGCGGGGGTATTAGAGTCTAGTCATGAGATATCTTATAGGTAAGTAAACTAGCATTGTGCTGGATAATGTTGTAACCATTCATGTGATAACAGTTACTGTGTGATTCTAAGATGTCAGCTCCCTTTTCTGGATTGGAGGATGGAAAGGCATATTTGCATATTTTCCGTTGGATTCTCCCACCCAGTCCTACATTTACTATAGTAACACCTTGTAGATCAAATGTAAGTAATGCGCTCTCTTCCCTCCCCACACCTAATGCTGCGTCTCCCATTCAGAGTCTTACTAGTGAAGACTGGTAAGTTTAGATTACTTATTAGTAAGACCAGTGAGCTAAGATCAATGCATGCATCCTTGTGAGATGGAATATATTTCTGCCCTGAGAATTTCTGTTGGTCTTAGCCTGGAATGAAGATCCTGCAGTACCACACCTCTGCTCTCTGGGCTTTAATAGCTCCTGGCTGCAAGTTTGTTAGCATGTGCAACTTAGACATTTTATGTGGAACTGTCTTCTGGCCTCTTCTACAAATAATGACAAATTCTTTTCTTTCTTCCTCCCTTCCCATCTTCTCGCCCTCTTGTAGGTGAAAATCGCATTGAGGTTCTGGCTGAAGTCTGGGACCACTTCTTCACTGAGACTCTCCCTACCCTGCAGGCAATATTTTATCCAGTTCAGGTTAGTCTCACTGGGGAACACTTCCTGTCATCCTCAGCAGTCTGTCTTCTCTCCTGGCCTTTGCAGCCTGGGGGCTCCTGGTAAATGGGAGAAAACTTGGAGATTGGGCACTTGCATTGGTTAAGGAGTTTAGAGATGTTTTAAGGGCTCTCTGGTTCTATATTTAGTACCTAAGTTCAAGTGAAGAAGAGTGCCTGCATAACTAGCAATTTTTAGGCTCTTGTTACCCTCTTGGTTTTGAGTATGTCTTTATATTCTTGGAGTGGTTTGTTTTTCTTAGTTTTCAAAAGTAGAGAAGTTGGGGGGAAGGGAGATTTCTTGTTTCTTTTCTTTCTTTCTCCCCTGCCTCTTTCTTCTCTCCTTTTTTTTTTTTTTTTTTTTTTTTTTAAGCACAATTTTAAAGCAAGTTTGCTGTTGCCTTCAAATCATGAAAAAGGAGTAGCATTCCGTGTTCCTCTGTAAGGGATCCTACGTGATTTAGTAGGAGGAACGCCGGACTAGGAATCCGTAGACTTAGATTCAAGAGTGTGGGTTTGGGCAGAGTCATTTATCTTCTGTGAGCATAGCTCCATCGTATCCCCAGCAAAACGAGGACTTGAGAGTAAAATATGAATGACACCTCTAGTATTCTTACTCTGTGGCCTCCACTCCTTCTACCATTTATGTTGATATCCTTGCCCCCTTGTCTCTGTAGAGCTAATACCATGATGATCACTGCCAGGTCGATGCCACCTCTAAGGAAGGTTGACCTGTAGATGTTCCTCTCCAAAATACGTGTCTCTCTCACTTAAGCTGCAGTGTGCTCACTCTTCTCTCCTCCCACTGTGGTTGAGGCTTCGTATGTAATTAGGTATTGTTGAAGTGTGGGTGTCGTATGCAGAGGAACACAGCCATTAAGCAATGGGTAGAATGACCTTATGCCAGAGGTCAAGACCTACGTGGACTGTTTGGTCTGAACAGTGTTTTAAAGGAATTTTGAATTGCTGAAAACATATGTCAAGTATCTAAAACCTGGGAGGTTAGGCTTATAGATTCCATTTTCCATGTGAGACCCACCCCATAACATTTCCAGTAAGATAGTACAGATAGAAGCCTCTGTCCTGTAGCCTGCAGAAACCTTCCCCTTCCTTGCAGTAGTCACCCATCAGCCATCAGTGAGTCTTCTCTCAGGAAGACAGACATGGGGATAAGGTTGCCAGATTAAGCATATAAAAATACAGGATGTTGGCCGGGCACAGCACTTCGGGAGGCTGAGGCAGGTAGATCACTTGAGCCCAGAAGTTTGAGACCAGTCTGGGCAACAAGATGAAAACCCATCTCTATTAAAAAAAAATCAGCCAGGCATGGTGGCATGTGTCTGTAGTCTCAGGTACTAGGGAGGCTGAAGTAGGAGGATCACTTGAACCCAGAAGATCAAAGCTGCAGTGAGCCGAGATTGCACCACTGCACTTCAACCTGGGAGACAGAGCAAAACCCTGTCTCTAAATAAACAAACAAGCAAACAGGATGTTGAGTTATATTTGAATTGCATATATAAGCAAATAACGCAATATTTGGGACATGTTTATACTGAAAAACTCTTCAAATTTCTATGGGTATCCTGTGTTTTATCCGGCAACCCTACTGGAAGGGGGGTGTACAGAAAAGGCCTGGATTTGTAAGTCGACAAAGGGGCATGTTGAATCAGTACCTGGTGTCTCCTGTGTTTATTTACTTATTTATTTATTTATTATTACACTTTAAGTTCTAGGGTACATGTGCACAGCATGCAGATTTGTTACATATGTATACATGTGCCATGTTGGTGTGCTGCACCCATTAACTCGTCATTTACATTAGGTATATCTCCTAATGCTATCCCTCCCCCCTCCCCCCACCCCCCGACAGGTCCCAGTGTGTGATGTTCCCCACCCTGTGTCCAAGTGTTCTCATTGTTCAATTCCCACCTGTGAGTGAGAACATGTGGTGTTTGGTTTTCTGTCCTTGTGATAGTTTGCTGAGAATGATGGTTTCCGGCTTCATCCATGTGCCTACAAAGGACATGAACTCATCCTTTTTTATGGCTGCATAGTATTCCATGGTGTATATGTGCCACATTTTCTTAATCCAGTCTATCATTGATGGACATTTGGGTTGGTTCCAACTCTTTGCTATTGTGAATAGTGCCACAGTAAACATACATGTGAATGTGTCTTTATAGCAGCATGATGTATAATCCTTTGGGTATATACTCAGTAATGGGATGGCTGGGTCAAATAGTATTTCTAGTTCTAGATCTTTGAGGAATCGCCACAATGTCTTCCACAATGGTTGAACTAGTTTACAGTCCCACCAATGGTGTAAAAGTGTTCCTGCTTCTCCACATCCTCTCCAGCACCTGTTGTTTCCTGACTTTTTAATGATCATCATTCTAACTGGTGTGAGATGGTATCTCATTGTGGTTTTGATTTGCATTTCTCTGATGGCCAGTGATGGTAATCATTTTTTCATGTATCTGTTGTCTGCATAAATGTCTTCTTTTGAGAAGTGTCTGTTCATATCCTTCACCCACTTTTTGATGGGGTTGTTTTTTCCTTGTAAATTTGTTTAAGTTCTTTGTAGTTCCTGGATATTAGCCCTTTGTCAGATGGATAAATTGTAAAAATTTTCTCCCATTCTGTAGGTTGCCTGTGCACTCTGATGGTAGTTTCTTTTGCTGTGCAGAAGCTCTTTAGTTTAATTAGACCTCATTTGTCTATTTTGGCTTTTGTTGCCATTGCTTTTGGTGTTTTATGCATGAAGTCCTTGCCCATGCCTATGTCCTGAATGGTAATGCCTAGGTTTTCTTCTAGGGTTTTTATGGTTTTAGGTCTAACATTTAAGTCTCTAATCCATCTTGAATTAATTTTTGTATAAAGTGTAAGGAAGGGATCCAATTTCAGCTTTCTACATATGGCTAGACAGTTTTCCCAGCACTATTTATTAAATAGGGAATCCTTTCCCCATTTCTTGTTTTTGTCAGGTTTGTCAAAAATCAGATGGTTGTAGATGTGTGGCATTATTTCTGAAGGCTCTGTTCTGTTCTATTGGTCTATATCTCTGTTTTGGTACCAGTACCATGCTGCTTTGGTTACTGTAGCCTTGTAGTATAATTTGAAGTCAGGTAGCATGATGCCTCCAGCTTTGTTCTTCTGGCTTAGGATTGTCCTGGCAATGCGGGCTCTTTTTCGTTCCATATCAACTTTAAAGTAGTTTTTTCCAATTCTGTGAAGAAAGTCATTGATAGCTTGATGGGGATGGCATTGAATCTATAAATTACCTTGGGCAGTAAGGCCATTTTCACGATACTGATTCTTCCTATCCATGAGCATGGAATCTTCTTCCATTTGTTTGTGTTCTCTTTTATTTTGTTGAGCAGTGGTTTGTAGCTCTCCTTGAAGAGGTCCTTCACATCCCTTATAAGTTGGATTCCTAGATATTTTGTCTTCTTTGAAGCAATTGTGAATGGGAGTTCACTCATGATTTGGCTCTCTGTTTGTCTGTTATTGGTGTATAATAATGCTTGTGATTTTTTTTTTTTTTTTTTTTTTTTGAGACGGAGTCTCACGCTGTTGCCCAGGCTGGAGTGCAGTGGTGCGATCTCGGCTCACTGCAAGCTCCGCCTCCCGGGTTCCCGCCATTCTCCTGCCTCAGCCTCCTGAGTAGCTGGGACTACAGGCGCCCGCCACCGCGCCCGGCTAATTTTTTGTATTTTTAGTAGAGACGGGGTTTCACTGTGGTCTCGATCTCCTGACCTTGTGATCCGCCCGCCTCGGCCTCCCAAAGTGCCGGGATTATAGGCTTGAGCCACCGCGCCTGGCCTATGCTTGTGATTTTTGCACATTGATTTTGTATCCCGAGACTTCTGAAGTTGCTTATCAGCTTAAGGAGATTTTGGGCTGAGACGATGGGGTTTTCTGAATATACAATCATGTCATCTGCAAACAGGGACAATTTGACCACCTCTTTTCCTAATTTGAATACCCTTTATTTCTTTCTCCTGCCTGATTGCCCTGGCCAGAACTTCCAACACTATGTTGAATAGGATGGTGAGAGAGGGCATCCCTGTCTTGTGCTGGTGTTCAATGGGAGTGCTTCCAGTTTTTGCCCATTCAGTATGATATTGGTTGTGGGTTTGTCATAAATAGCTCTTATTATTTTGAGATATATTCCATCAATACCTAACTTATTGAGAGTTTTTAGCATGAAGGGCTGTTGAATTTTGTCAAAGGCCTTTTCTCCATCTATTGAGATAATCACGTGGTTTTTGTCTTTGGTTCTGTTTATGTGATGGATTACGTTTATTGATTTGCGTATGTTGAACCAGCTTTGCATCCCAGGGATGAAGCCCACTTGATCATGGTGGACAAGCTTTTTGATGTGCTGCTGGATTCGGTTTGTCGGTATTTTATTGAGGATTTTTGCATCAATGTTCATAAGGGATATTGGTCTAAAATTCTCTTTTTTTGTTGTATCTCTGCCGGGATTTGGTATAAGGATGATTCTTGCTTCCTTAAGAGTTAGGGAGGATTCCCTCTTTTTCTATTGATTGGAATAGTTTCAGAAGGAATGGTACCAGCTCCACTTTGTACCTCTGGTAGAATTCGGTCATGAATCCACCTGGTCCTGGACTTGTTTTGGTTGGTAGGCTATTAATTATTGCCTCAATTTCAGAGCCTGCTATTGATCTATTCAGGGATTCAGCTTCTTCCTGGTTTAGTCTTGGGAGGGTGTATGTGTCCAGGAATTTATCCATTTCTTCTAGATTTTCTAGTTTATTTGTGTAGAGGTGTTTATAGTATTCTCTGATGGTAGTTTGTATTTCTATGGGACCGGTGGTTATATCCCCTTTATCATTTTTTATTGTATCTATTTGATTCTTCTCTCTTTTCTTCTTTATTAGTCTTGCTAGTGGTCTATCAATTTTGTGGATATTTAAAAAAAAACAGCTCCTGGATTCATTGATTTTTTTTTTTGAAGGG